ACTCAAAACAAAGGCAAAGCAATAAAACCAGTTTAGAAAAGAATGAAACAAAACCCAGAACTTTCATATCAGCTGCATCCATTCATACCTGCTTCTTTCTTTTTCTGGGTTGTTCAGATAGGAGTGAGGACTTCTGTTCAGACTGCTGTCGTATATCTCTCCTTTGTTTCTGTAAATCCTGCCTGGCTTCATCTTACTGTGGGCAATGTCAATGCTCTGAAATCAAATTTAGGATGTTTATGAGCTTTGTACTACCCAGCCTATATGATAATTATACATTATACGATTTAAAATCTTTTTGTGTTTTCTTATCCAAACATTTCATCCAAGTCCAAAAATATTAAAGAAAAAAATAATCTGAAATACAATATGTCAATTAAGATGCAGGCTGGATATTTTTTTCTCTATTCTCCAAAGTTCTTGAACTTTTCATCACTATAAGTCTCTGATCATAGAGCCGCCCAATACATATACCACTCATCATTGTATGACGCAGACCAGATCCCTTGTGCAGTTAGAGACAAACCTTTACGATGCCGCTGACCAGTGGCTCAATGGATGCCTTGATATATCCATTACCGGCAAGCATAAAAAGGGTGTACTGGAAATAACCTGCTGGTCCACAATGGGTGTGTGTCCCACTCAGGACCACGTTATCATGTCTGTACAAGTCACCATACTTCTCCTTCAAAGCCTTTAGAACCTGCAAACATAGGGCATATAGAAGAACCTTAATTCCATGATGGACCGGGTATGAAATTCAAAATGAAGCTCTAAAAGCACCATGGTAGGCCTTCAATATGAAATAATGTTTGACTCTTGTTAACTTATGTTTGGCTGTTGAATAGTCGTCACAGGCTCAACCATAAACCACCTCAGCTTTCTCCTATCTGCTCCCATTCAGATAGATGTTTTTTCAAAATATGCTTGATTTTTTTTTTTTTTTATCATGGTATTACAATAGAGATTCTTGATTCTTAATTTAAAAAAAAAACTGTGTAGAATATAATAGACTGTAGTTTCTGCTTTTAAAACCTGTTTTAAACCAAAAGAAGAGAAAGTAATAGTCTGCACCATATGGAAGCCCTGAAAATAAGCTGAGAAAGAAAGACCGGTGCTTCATCTTTAATATGTGCATGGAATAACAGATGTGTTTTATTTACCTCCAGTCTTAGCCTCTGAGAAATCATCCCCACATCTACGGTGACGAATACAACTCTCTGACTCCCATCATCGATGATGAAAGCTCGACTGTAAAGACGGGTGTGTATCCCTGCAGCTTTCTGCTGAGAGTTTGCATAACCCATCTAAAATACAAAGGACAAAACTTAATTGGAGCAGATATATGCTTTAATAGTCTTGTTAAATGAAGATTAAAGCTAAGTTTCGCTATTACAGGTCCACCTTTTCACCTTAAAGAAATAAAGGCAGTAGTGAGCAATGCTTGTGTCTCTACTTTGACTGTCTTCTCTGGCATAGTGGATTAACAAACAGGTGGAGTTGAAGAGGGCGGGCATGTTGATTTTCTGGTGTCAAAATGTGGGGATAACATGTTTGATGCAAATAATTTCGAATGAAGACACCTGTTTTATGGCAAATATGCGAGAAACTATATTTCAGTTGGAGAAATTACCTCTTCCTTCAGAATGGCAGCATCTATCTGCCTGCTGTAGATCGGATAAAGATGTTTTTTGTCTGGTTATGTTTTCTGATCCATATCTCTCGTTTGAAAATTCCAGCATATCCACAATTTGTTCTTTTTTTCTTTTGGTAACTTATGTGGAGCTGTGTTATGTAAGACTTCTACTGTGGACCATAAAGGTTGTCAGGCAGACACACCCAGTCAGATAAAGAGGCTCTGTTGCAGACTTTGGAGTTGGATTTCCAAAGCAGATTAATCTTCTGTTGTCGACTTTCCAGTGACAAACACTTTCCTTAGATGTGCTAGCATGTTACGAAAGCCTAAAGTGTTGCTTGCTATAATATGCTGATAACTAACTGATAATAAACCAACACCAGGATGAATCCGTGACACCAGACAGATTTTGCTATCAATTTCTGTATCATTACTGTTTTATTACAACTGTTGGTGTCTAGGATGGGACAGAAACCCTCTTCATGGTCAGGTTTGACAGTTTAGGACCTCGGGATTACTCTGAAGCATATCTGCATGGGATTCTGTCATTATCATTAACACAGTGATTTGCATACTAAAGTAAATATGTCACATAGTTTAGGATACAAAGTTTATTAAATTTCCTATTAGCAGTAATTCAGTATTATGTTTAGATTAAAGAGGAATACATTTAGGCCGGGAAAGACAAAGATCAGACTATCTCTAATGTGGTTGTCCAGCTATTGACTCGCTTACTTTAAACAACTGTAGAATATCAGAATCCTTAGAACATATCTGTCAAAGTCAAGGCCCATGGCCCGGATCCAGCCCGCAAACCAGGGGGCCATGTTTATCCATGGCCCCCTGGATGATATGTAATTACCATTAGAACCGGCCCCCAGGCCACTACTGATTGTGCGCCCTGCTTTGACTTTGTGGGCTACCGCTGCATTGTGGGCAATGTAGTGTTGGTGCAGTTGTGTTGCAAGCACCAACACTATATTCCCAGGGGAAAACATGATTGTGTTTTTTGTTGTGCTTTGCATGTTTGGATTGTTTTGGTTTTTGCTTTTCCCCCTTTAAAGGGAAACGCCGGGTTTTTTACATTGGGCCCTTGATTTTACTTTATTACATCATGTTCTACCGCGGATGTCTGGGGGACAGTGATTCGCCTACATGTTATGAATGCTGGCCTACCATAAATAATACATTATGAACAGTTTAGTTTGTACTTTCAAGTAGTTTGCCCATAGGAAGACGTTACTTGGATATAACCTAACGGAATATCTTCAGAACGGCTCTAAATGATACAAAACTCATATGGGTGAGTAGAACATGATGTAATAATGTCAAATGTAAAAAACACGGCATTTTCCTTTAAGAATCCAAGCTGGGATGAAGTCAGAAGCTGTGTTGGAAAACATTGCCAAAGACCAAATTGATGTTCTGAATCACACACCAAACTCCCTCTTCCTCCTTTTGTTGAGCTTGGGGGATCCCACCTGCCCCTCGCTGGGCAGCGTTTCTGCAGGATCAGCTTCGCTCCTCCCTCCATCCAGGCTCCTTTTATTTTGGCTCCAATCAGCCTCGGCTGACACCTGTAGTCTGTAGTCTTTTTGATTCTTCGGTCCTTTTTGGTATTGCTCTGCTTTTTGTTTGATAAATTCCTCTTTTAAAGAACCTCTGGCTGAATTCTGGATCCACTGCCGTGATTAATCACAACATTTTTACATGTCTTTGTACAAGACTTGATTTTTCTTTGAAGGAAGTATTGTTTTTTTTGTATTTTATTTCATTTATTTATATTTTTCAGTTAAATAGACTCAGGGAGAAATGCAAATAAGAGCTATGAGAGAGAATACAACTGATTTGATTTTTTTTTCTTATTTTACTATTTGAAAGCAGTGATCGGTAGGATCATAGAGCAGCATAGTGATGTATTTTCAGTATATAATGCATGCACTTTCATTTATGTATTTATCTTAATAAATGTATTCATATCATAAAAGTTTATTAATAATATTGATATTAATATTTTGTTTTTTTTAATCTATGTGTTAGGTCTTAGATCAATAGGCTATGTTCATTTCAATATGTTTTAATACACATTTAACTAGTCTGGCCTTCGGCTTGTAGAAAATTTGTTTTTTTGGCCCTTGGTGTATTTGAAGAATATTACACCCAGTAACAACAAAAAAAGCTGTAAATTCCAGAACAGCCATCAGAGGGCAGTAGTAGCCCACAAACAGTTTCAAGGTAGTTATTGGACCTGAACCCATCCACCTGATCCATCATAGGAATCATATAAATTGACACAAACTTCCAGATATTTGATGCCCAACATAAAGTCAATATAATCATTTTCCTCTAACTTGTTTGAAAGCATATGTTGCAATTTTTTAAAGCCATCAACAAGCCTTCAATGAAATAAATAAACACATTGAGAATGCAATTTAAAAGGATGTTTTCTGTAAAAAAATCTTTTAAGGAACACCTTAGAAAGGGTTTGGGAGTTGTTATTCTTCACCAATTGTTGTCTGCTGTTTTGTAAACTAGTAAAATTTCTCTGACTGAATAATGAAGTGTTTGGAATGTGTTTGTACCGACCAGAGGGATTTCAGCTGGTGGTCCTGTGCAGTCTGCTCGGCCGACGCCTATCAGGTAAGGTGTACCCTGAGGATTGGTTTCTGAGGGAAAAGAAAATTTGAAAATCTTTTGTTTTTTTTTCTTAACACCTTACTCTAAATAATTTTTTGCTTCTCAAGCAGCTAAAAATTAACCAGTGATTATCTGAAACAGTTCAGTGAAAGTAGCAGCAGTCAGGCAGTCAATGTTTAATGAAGTTCACAAATTCTATCATTAATCTGAATTTGATTTTGGGTAAACTCAAAGGCTGTAAAAATGACTCTATTTAATCATCTGAAAAAAAGTAAAATGCAGTCATTCTTAGACATAAACTGAACTTTTGATAAACTTAGCTAAATCTTTTTATTAACCTACAATATAAACCTGTTTTGCATCTTTATAAAGACAGACTTATTAACAGAAGAATGTATAAATTAACTTTATTAAAGTTGCCTCTTGTCTCAGCCTTACAGGTAAACCAGATAATCAGTAACAAATAGACTTAGGGAAAACGACCAATTAGAGACATTTCCTTTGATCTAATGAAACTAAAATTGAAGTATGATCATAACAACCAGTCTGTTATGTTATATGGGGTCAGAGATAGAATTCTGAAGAAAATATTAAAGAATATCTTAACGATGACGCAAAGCATACTGTAATAATAGTTAGACAAACTGCCTGACTTTGTTTAACTAAAGTTAACAAGTAACTATTGCAAAGCTCTCCCAGTCTAATACAAAATCTGTGGGAAGAACTTTGTGTTAGAAAAGTCACCTTACACCAGTTCTCTGAATAAAACTGGGCGCAATTTCCAGCAAATTATTTTAAGAATCTTGTAAAGGTGTCAAAAATGTTTGACTTAACATAAACAGCTAATGACCATTAACCTAAATACTGAGGAACTTCGTGTTAATCTCTGGATCTTAACCAGGTGTGAAAATAATTTCTTAAATTATACTTCACTACCTATTAGAATAGAATAGAATAGAATAGAATAGAATAGAATAGAATAGAATAGAATAGAATAGAATAGAATTCAACTTTATTGCCTTTACACTGTCACAAGTACAAAGCAACAAAATGCAGGTTGCATCTATCCAGAAGCACTATACAAGATATGAATATCGAATGTAGCATTTAAAACAATTTGATTTATCCTGATTTAAGACAGAAAAAAACATCATTGTGTTTTAATGAAGAAATAATGGAAGCAAACTGTTATGTGTCTGTGTAAAAACCATATAAACATCTGTTTAAGACAGTTTTAGATTTAGAAATATATTTTAGTTTTGGTAGTGTAATGTTTATATAAGAAATTATTCAGGTTTAAAATAATAATAAAAGCGACAGTTTTGTTCCCTGAACGCTTCTGCTGTTTTTACAGGAAACAGCTTATACTGTTTTAGCAGTTTGTTTGTTTACCTTTTTTGTTTGTCTTGACAATCAACACTGCAGCCAGTGCCACACAGACAGCTGTCACAATGACGAGCAGAACGATCAGCACCATCTGAAGGGCAGAAAGTCTACAACACTTCTTGCCTGCCATCGTGCCTGATTGTGTTTAAAAGAAAAAGGGGAAAAAAGGAATTATCAATAAACTTTAGTGAGTTTTATTTTCTTTAATTGAATAAATTAGCCAACACGATGATTAAAAAAAAGAAAAAGAATGATCCTGATAGCCTGCAGTGGTGATGAATACTTTGTCTCATATATCAAAATACTGAAACTATGCATTTAGAACTAACATGCACTCATAGAGAAAAGCTTGTAGAACCTCCTTCAAAGCCTCTTCTACTGATTTTATCTCTGAGGGCTCAGATCTCTGTGGAGGTTTTATTTTATTAGTAGTTTTATTAGCTTTTGGCTCAGCTCTCTGAGGTTCCACTGGAATTCAGTCAGGTTGAGGTTTGAACTTTGACTAGGCCATGATGTCATGTTTATTCTTTTTTTACATCACAGTCCTGTTGATAACCAAATTAGTGCCAAGCTTGAGCTGTTTGATGGATAGTGTTTGACTTAATGCTATGCAAAAAAAAGTCCTTAAGATTAATTAAAAACTGCAAAAAAGTCTGTTCTTGCACCTTTTAATCAAGACAAAACGACTATCTCTCCCCTTGTTCGATGCTTTGCAGGTAGAAGAAGGTTTGTGGTGATGCTGTTGGGTTTCTTTAAACGTGGACATTGCTCCAAAGGTGATATGCATCTTTTAGATTCAGATTTACATACCTGATCTTTGCCACTATGTTGCTTTTAGAGGGAAAATTCTTCTTTTCCCTTCACCTGGTCATACATATCAGTTCTCTAGCTGTCCTGCATGATTTCTAGTTTTCAAGGTCAAGGTCTGTACAATAGATTTTATTTATTGGGCTGAATTTACTGTAGCAACCACTCCCAGGAAGATTATAATAATAGCATTATAATATATCTTTTCAAAAAATTATAATATATCTTTTCAGACAAATGCAAAGTGACATTCCTTTCTTTTGGATCATCACTTCACATATTGCAAACACACACCTGTGCGCTTCATGCAATAAACTGTTGAACCTCATATTTTATATTGCGGAAGCGTTAAAATCAATAATGATAATTTAATCAGTAACTCTGATTAGCAGCAGCTGATTAAAACTTTCTTTTTTATAGAGAGGAGAATCAAAAACCTCAGCTAAACGAAAGATAAATGAATGTATTTGTGCTGTGGTGAGAGCCAAATAGGTTAATGTTGCAAAAAAAAAAATGGTTTGTTTGGAGATTTGTTAGGTAAACTATTAAATTAAAAAAACATATATATGATAAAACTTTCAAACTTGTAGAGCTTTAAAACTAATTGTCTAACCGTTTTTGATGTTTTACAGTTGTACTTTCTAAGTACCAATACAGGTTATATTTATTTCAAGATTGATTTATTGCTGTGTTACCCAATTTCCTGATGTTAAAGCTGTGAATCTTTAAACTAATCATAGTATTTTTTCCCCACCTCATCTACAAAACATTCTGTATAGAAAAAATAAGATAAAGATAATGTTGTTTGATCAGACAATATTGAGCAAGCATTACGTTGGTTCTTTCTATACCGTCAAACTTATCATTGAAACCTGTTTTATTCTCACATATTCTGTTCAATTATGTTCTATAATCAATCTCGGAAGCTTTATCTCTTCGTTTCTGACATGAAGAAACAAGCGGATGTGATAAAAATCTTCAGAAAGTCAAATACATCAAACTCACCTTCAGCCAGAGGAGACTCAGCTTGGAACAGAGAAAGTGTTTAATGCAGCGTTTTAGGCATTATCTCCCTGCTAAGCTGTTATCTGTCTGTTGAAGGTTGTTCCACACAATCTGCAGGTACACACTCCAAAGTTCACCAGCTGAATTTCATACTGCTCTATAGCTTTGATGATTAGCTACAGATATAACTGATTATATAGCTAATAAAGATGTTATCAAAAAGGTTTGTTTTGTTATTCAATCTTAGAATGCATCTGTGGCTGCAATACAGAACCAGGGGTTTGGTTCTTTGCGTTGTGGATAACAGTGTTCGTTTCACATCCATCTGATAAAATATATATTATTCAGAAGATTAGTATAAAGCAAACACAATTCAGTGGGGATGTGATTTACCAAAACAGCTGAAGGGTTAGATAAAGCTTATGCCTAACAAAAGAGTAAATCAGAATTTGACCCAAACAGTCTAATTTATCGTCATCTGCCTAACCTACTGTGGATCTGGGAGAATGGCAGAGAGGAGAAAAGAAATAAAGATTGTTTTTTTTTTCTTTCTTTTTTCTACGTAGGAGACCTTCCCAGGTTTCCTACGTAGGAAGCAACTGCCTGGCGAAAAAGCCAGTCCTGTCAGTACACCTGTCTTGTCCTTTGGTTTTCTTTTTAGTTTAAGGAAAAGGACTTTGCTGTTATTTAAGTTATTTCTTTTTGTGTCTTACCCAGCCCTTCTCCAATGCCCCTCAGACAGTTTGGATATTTAGAGGCCAGCAAGCAAGAAAAAAAGCTACTTATGAGCTCACTATGATGAGCAGAGCAGCTGGTCCTGTTTACCTACAATATGATCAGTGTTGTCAAAAGTTCACACATTTGTTACTTAAGTAGAAGTATAGATACTGCAGTTTAAAAACACTCTGGTAAAAGTTGAAGTATCAACGTGACCTCTTTACTCAAGTAAAAGTGAAAAAGTATGTGCTCCAAAAACAAATTAAAGTATAAACCTTTATTATTCTTTACTATCAGGGTTCAGATGAAAATTTAAAAAGAGAGATCATATCTCTCCTATACTGGCTTCTCTTCATTAGCTTCCTGTTAAATCCAGAATATAATTTAAAATCCTCCTTCTCACATATAAAGCCTTAAATAGCCAAGCTCCATCTTATATCAGAGATCTGATTGTTCCTTATGTTCCTAACAGAGCGGTTCGATCTCAATCTGCAGGTTTACTAGTGGTTCCTAGAATTTCTAAAAGTAGAATGGGAGGCAGTTCTTTAAGTTATCAGGCTCCTCTCCTGTGGAACCAACTACCAATTTTAGTCCGTGAGGCAGACACCCTGTCTACTTTAAGGGTAGACTTAAAACTTTTTGATAAAGCTTACAGTTAGAGTGGCTCAGGTTATCCTAAGCTATCTTTATAGTTACACTGCTATAGGTTTAGACTTCTGGAGGATATAGGGACCCCCATTTCATCATTTTGCTTCATTCTGTCTCTATTCTCCCATTCTGCAGAATCTGTTAGTTCAATGTCTAATGTTATGCTCACTCTGCTTTTTCCCATAGTACCTTTGCCTCTTATGTTCCTGTTTGGCTGTAACACCATCCTGGAGAGAAATATCAGCTCTGTTGTTTCCATCAACACCCTTGCTTAAAGATGTTGGAGGTCGGCCTGTTTTCCAGTTTCCTGTTTCTCTGACCGCAACTGGCTGGATGTGCTCTCTTCATACTTTGACATGGCAGTTGGCCTGGAGCTCGTCTGCCTGGCTGTGTGTTTTCTGGACCAGGCCGCCTTTTACGGTTGCTTTTTGTATCTCTGGTTCTGTATCCTTGAACACCAGTCTCAGCAGATGGCCACTCACACTGAGCCTGGTTCTGCTGGAGGTTTCTTCCTGTTAAAAGGGAGTATTTCCTCTCCACTGTAGCTGCATGCATGCTTAGTGTGAGGGATTGCATTTGAGTCAATGAGTTGATGCAATCAACTGGTTTTTCTTAGAAAAGATGGAAAACATTCAATTAATTGACTGTATGATCTGGTGAACTGTAAAGTGCCTTCATATGACATGTGCTGTGAATTGGCGCTATAGAAATAAACTGAATTGAATTGATATTATCCACTGCCTACCACCTTCACAGATATAAATCAGCTGACAAGTAAAACTAAATCTCATCAAACCTATACATACAAATTCAACCTAAGGTGTTCTAACCATCACCTCCTTTTCAGGACTGCTGCATGAATCCATTGACTCCATGATCTACAACATTACAAACAAATCCCTTTAACTTTCATCTATTCTTGGTGTTTTACACACTCTGTAGGCAAAAAAAAAAAGGAAAAAGAAAGAGGGAAATTGTATGTGACTGAATATCTTCTACTTTAAGGTTGTTCAACTATATACCCAGAAAGTCAGAATCGTTTGTAATTATTTCCGTGTATTTTGCTGCCCCCTGCTGTTCAGTTCTGGTATAAATAAAGATCCTTGGCCATAAAAATGATTTTTCAGTTTTATTTTATTTATTTCCCATTTAGAGCATGATAGGATTGCTTGTAAATCTCTGATTATATCTATATCTTTAATCAGGTGGGATATTATAACAGGTACCTTAAGCTGGAGTTCAAGAGAGGGAAAACTGCACATTTATTCAACTAGTAAAAAGAAAGACAGTCTAAAGAAGACTGTGGGAGAAAGAGAACACAATGATTTCTGTGAAATATTTACAGTATAGCACATACTTCAGGCGACGTCTGGCTCTGATAGTGAGCTGCCCTTCTGGCTTCTGCTTCATATTGGGCTTGCAGCCTCTCTTTATGCTGTCTTAATTCTCTTTCTTTTTGTTCATTCATCCTATCCATCATGGCTTTCATCTCAATTTCTCTCTGCTCTTTCTCTCTTTGTATTTCTTCCTTTAGCCTCTCAAACTCCTTCTTCTTCTGCTCGTCTAGCTTCTGCTGGGCCATCCTTCTCTCTTCCTCTCTTTCCTTCCTCTCTCTCTCCCTCTCTCTCTCTCTCTCAGCTCTAAGAAGCTCGTTCATTTTCTGCATCTCTCTCTGATACTGTGCCTGTATTTCTCTCTCTTGTTTTTCTCTCTCTTTTCGCATCTGCTCTTCTTTCTCCCTCAGCAGGCGTTGTTTCCTCTCTTGGATTTCTCTCTCAGCCTTTTGGAACATCTCATTGGTGTAGTGACTTCCTCCATTTTTATGTACAATATTTTTTATCTTCTGGAGCAGCTCAGTGACCTGAGGTTTTTTATCACTCTGATTGTTGTTGAACACATGATACTGGCCGTTACATGTTTTTACAAGTTCCTGCAGTTCTGAGCTTTCTTCCAAGAACTCTTCTATAGTGGTGTCTTGAAGCTGGTCTCCATGAGTAAAGAGAACCATGCTGTATTTATCAGCATCCTTTCCAAAGATTTCTTGAATCTTTTGGACTGATTTCCTTTCCTCTTCAGTGAATCTGCCCAGTGCGATGACCACCAGGAAGATGTGGGGTCCAGGAGCAGCCAAAGGAATGCAGAGGCTAAAATCTTTTACTGTTTTATCCTCATTAAACCTGGTGTCAGACAGGCCAGGTGTGTCAATAACAGCGATCTGGTTTCCATCAACAGCTGTGTTACATTTGGAGCAATCCACAGTCAGTGATCTGGGGCTGCATTTCGACTCAAAGCACCGTCGCCCTAAAATGGTGTTTCCAGAGGAACTCTTCCCACTTCCAGTCTTCCCCACTAAAACAATCCTCATCTCGTTGTTGTTTGATAAGTTTGTACCTGTAACAAAGAAAATTTATTTGTATGTTTGTACTGAAATGTAGAAATAAAGAACATAAGCTCAGAAACAACATCTAGGATGTTTTAGGTTGAAAAGATGAAAAGCTAAAACATAGTTATACTCTATTGTATAAATAAATATAAAAAAGAAACTGAAACTGATACAACTTCCATAATGATTCAAGCCTAAAAGAGGAAAATATCAAAATGCTGTATGTTTATGTTCTATCAGAATAGCTGGAAAAAATGTGTATATTTCCTGACTTACCAGAGTTGTTGGCTTTGTTTGAGCTGAAGTCCAGCTTCTCCATGATCAGGCTAAAGAGAGCAGGGAGGATGCTGAGATGAAGCAGTAGTGAATACTATGAAAGCAGCCTGCTCCTTTTATAAACCAGTTTGTCAAAATGAAACTGAAACGTTTTTTTTTTTTTTTTTTTGTGCTGCAGTAACGAAAACCCTCAAGGGAAAACCCATATACACTGATATTCCACCTACTGTTATTTGAGCTGCACCTTGAAATTTGTCCTACCCTGAGGTTAAAGCTGGTATTCCCCTTACTTTAACGGCAGCATTTACAAGAAATGGCAACTCTTAGAGAAACTGAAAACACAGAAAGGCTGTCTGTTTTTTTTCTTTCAGTGCCTGCACTGAGACAAGAGCCTTTACACTGGTTTCCATGGATAACGTTCATGTGTTGTTTTTTATTGACATACATTTTTCTTTCATACTTGAAAGATGAGGCACACTTATTTCTATTTTAATGCATTTTTTAAATCTTGTACCAATTTTCTATTTCCAAATGAACATGGTTTTATTTCCAAAACAGTTTTCCACCATGTGACTGACGTAAAACTAATGTATTATTAATACTCTAGAATCGAGAGATGATGCATGCTTGTTTTTATCCAATTTTAATGCATTTACTGCTTTATAATCACATTAACAATGGAAAAAAATATGATTTATTTTCATTTCCATGATAACAAAATCTGTAAGATCCTAAACAAACCACAACAGCCCTTCCCGCAGCGCAATGATTTATTTGATTAGTGGGGAGATGCTGTGTAGAGGTGTTTGGTGTTTCGTTGTGGCCGTGACGGCTTAAAGGCGAGTGGCTGTCAACTACTGTATGGTGACCAGATGTCCCCGATTTCTGAGGACAGTCCTCGTTTTGGACCACCTGTCCTAGGCTAAAGCTGTCCCTGGAAATGTCACAGATTTTGCTGTTTTATGAATGAAGAGGTAATTTTGTGTGTAGACAACGGTAGGAAGAGAGCGAGAGCATGCTATGTGCAGAAACAGCTTTTAGCTAGCTGGTTGGCAGCTGTTCACATATAAGGGTGCAGAGCGCACCAATTTTTAATAACACTTGGAAGTTCATTATCACATCCGTACACAGTTGCCCTGTATTATTGTGAGTGTGTTAATCGGTTCATTTGATTTTAATTGGGCTGATCATTATGATAAATGTTTGATTCATGTCCAGGTTTTAATGTACTGGATTCAGACCTAAGATTCAATCACGACAGGTCAGTGATGTCTAAACAGTTTATTGAAAAGGCAGGGTTAAACAGTGCTAGCTTTCGGGTGAGCAGCTCTGGTTAACGGGCCAGAACGTCCTAGAGGCAGAGGGACAGATTAGAGGCTGCAGTGGCAGGTTAGAAATGAAGAATTGATGAGATACTAACCAGAGACAGGCAGGAGGCTTCAGGGACTGGAGGCATCCACTTGTTGGTGGGGACTGGCTGTTGATTGGCCGACAAACTGACAGGCAGTGCGGGCTTTCCAGGGGCGTTTGTCCAGAGGTAGTTCAGGTCCGATAACAGGGTCCAATAATGCAGCAGAGGTACAGGGGGATAATCCAGCAGATTTCTCCGGTTCCAGTGCCAGGTCCAATTTCCGATTAACACAGAAAGTTAAGGGGGCGGGCAGGCTCAGGTACCCATGGGCAGAAAAAGGGTCAGGAACACAGGAGGTCAATCCAGAATCTAGAATCTCACAGAGCAAGACTCAGGAAGGCAGAGAAATCCAGAAAGGGATCAGGTAGGCTCAGAAACGAGGGACAAAGACAAGTCGGTTGGCAGGCAGGCAGGCAGACAGACTGGTCTTCAATAACAAGGGCTGGAAGGTTCTTACTGGCTTGACCCGAAATGATCAGGACAGAACTTACATGCAGGTGGCGACAGGTGAAACCAGTAGAGGTTAATTGCATGGAGGGTGGAGAATGAACCGGAGTGTTAATTGAGAACAGAATCACCTCCAGTGCGAGGATCATCATACAGGTCAATAAAAAAAGAGCTTTGATGTGTCTGTTTTACTAAAGATGAGGACCGGAAATGTAATTTGTATGTAAATAGAGCTAATCGACAAAAAGAGAGACAGACCATTGGCTGCAGCTGACCTGAGGAAATAGACTGAGATAAGATTAAACAGATTGACCAAAAACTCCTTGTAAGGGGCCAATCTGGTACGGTTTTTCTCCAGGGGTAAACAAGGGTTTGCCTAAAGATGTTTGTAGAACTTATTGGTGATCTTTAGTTAATTTAACCCAATAGTTAGTTATTGTAAGTAGAGTTATACGTTTTTTGGCTGTTTCATGGTTGTGATTTATGAGATAGACTTCCTGTCTTAGGTCTGCTTTTTACCACTCAGATTGGATATATGAGTTCCTCACTATAAAAGATAAGAGGCAGTAAAAGGAAAACTGAAGGAGACAAGATCTGAATGATCTGAGAATAACAATGAGATAAACACCTGTTTAACATTCATTTGTTAGGTTGTTTTTTTTACTTGTAGCTCCCAATATTTTGGTGATTAGCCTTTTTAGTAGTGTTACACCGATGCCATTTTTTGGCCCTGATATTGATACCCGATACCTGGCTGTGCAGTTTTGGCCGATACCAAACCGATACTATCTGTTTGAAATCGATGTGTGTATGTATGAAGAACTGCATACTCCTTGGATGTAAAATAATTTTGTCAAGCAGCGGCTTACCTTTGTGAAGCAGACTAATATGAAGTGAATCCAGTAGAACTTTTTATTGTCTACCTGGAATCAGTGATTACGGGGGCCCAGAGATGTCAACACTAAAACAAAAGCTGCAACACAAATACAAAAGCTGCAACATAAATACAAAAGCTACAACACCAATACAAAAGCCGCAACACAAATACAAAAGCTGCAACACAAATACAAAAGCCACAACACAAATACAAAAGCCGCAACAGCAATACAAAAGCCGCAACACAATTATAAAAGCTGCAACACAAATACAAAAGCCACGAAACAATCACAAAAGCCGCAACACAAATACAAAAGCTGCAATATAAATGCAAAAGCCGCAACAGATATATATGAAAGCCTAAACGGAAATGTAAAAGCCGCAACGGAAATATAAAACTACAACGGAAGTTACGATGGTCATTATACACATCTATATTGTATATGTAGATGCCTCATTGGAAGCTGTCGACAGCGCGGCGGATGTGCCTGAAGGGAGTCCATCTTGGACCAGACCACAGTTCAGACAGCTGCTGTCAGAATGAATAGGAGGCTCCTTAGATCTCATTTTAAGCACATGAAAGACAAGTCAGAAATAATATGATAATAATCTTTAACATATCACAACCCCTCTGGGCCACCGTAGGGGATAATAGCTGAACAAACTTTTTGCACCTTTTTTTCTCACTTTTTGCTATTTGTTAGTACTTGCTGATACCACCATTTTAGTGCTGCATCGGGGCCCCGCCGGATACTGGTATCGGTATCAGTGCAAAACTACTTTTTAGTATTAAAGCAGGTGAGATAACAACAGCAATTATAGTAATAATAATCACCATCATAATGATAATAATATGTATGATGAGATCATATGTTTTTGGAAGGGAGTTTTATTGTATTATCTCCCTGTTTTAGATCAGTGTAATATTAATAGGAGAGGAAGAAGATTTAGAAGACTGATAGAAAGAAGATGAATGAGAACGGAGGAAAATAGGAACAGAGTATCAGAGTTTCATTTTTTTTCTTTTCATGTTTCTACAGTTGAGTATAACTATGTTTCAGCCTTTCCTCTTTTCAGCTTAAAACATCCTAAATGTGAACATGAACACAAGCTTCATGTTCTTTATTTCTACATTTCAGTATAAACATGCAAATTAATTTTATTCTTAATTGGTACAAACCTGACAAACAACAAAGAGCTGAGGATTGTTTTAGTGGGGAAGACTGGAAGTGGGAAGAGTTCCTCTGGAAACACCATTTTAGGGCGACGGTGCTTCGAGTCGAAATGCAGCCCCAGATCACTGACTGTGGATTGCTCCAAATGTAACACAGCTGTTGATGGAAACCAGATCGCTGTTATTGACACACCTGGCCTGTCTGATACCAGGTTTAATGAGTATAAAACAGTGAAAGATTTTAGCCTATGCATTCCTTTTGCTGCTCCTGGATCCCACATCTTCCTGGTGGTCATCGCACTGAACAGGTTCAATGAAGAGAAAAATAAATCAGTCCAAAAGATTCAAGACATTTTTAGAGAGACTGCTGAAGATGTAAAAGTCAGATTGATACAAATCCTCAGGTCTCTTTCTCTCACAGTCTTCTTTAGGCTCTTTCTTAGTGGTTAAATGAATGTCCAGTTTTCCCTCTCCTGAACTACAGCTCAAGGTGCCTGTTATAATATCCCAGCTCGTGAAAGATACAGATGTCATTAGAGATTTGCAATAAAACCTATCATGCTCTAAATGGGAAATCAATCAAAAACTGAAAAATTATTTTCATTGCAAAGCATCTTTTATTAGACAGGAACTGAACAGCAGAGGGCAGCAAAATACACTGGAAACATATACTTGAATAAGTAGAAGATATTCCATCTCATAGACTCTTGTCTTATTTTTTTATTTTTATATTTTGCCTATAAAGTGTGTAAAACAACAAGACATGATTGAAGTAAATTTTTTTTTGGTAAAATTAATTGATGTAGATCAATGAATAAATGCAGCAGTCCCCAGGAAAAGAGGTGATGGTTAGAACACCTTAGGTAGAATTTGTATGTATAGGTTTGATGAGATTTAGTCTTTGCCAGCTGATTTATATCTGTGAAGGTGGTAGGCAGCGGCGGGCGGTACATATAGGCCTTTAGTGGGCACCAATATGCATCTAATTACCAGATAAAATAGCACAAAAGCATGAAAATAAAATATATCACTGTTACTAGAGATACTGATTATATATATACAAAATTCATCCTTCTGTCTTTGTACAGGAAGTTTTAGTATCTCCATTTAATATCAGCCACTGGGGCCAGAAAAAACCTTTACCAAAAGTGAATGTAAAATGCAGATTGTCACTAATTTAACTTGGCTGTAAACATTTTGGTCTGACTGACCAATCAGAGGACATAAAATGCTGATGTTTGGGTGGCCCCCTACCTGGGCCAGTATGGGGCAAGTTCGAAATCTGATTTTCTGAAAGAAGACTAAATCTAAGTCAAACCTATACATGCAAATTCTACCTAAGGTGTTCTAACCATCACCTCTTTTTCAGGAGGACTGCTGCATTTATCCATTGATCTACACCAATTAATGTCACCAAAAAAATCCCTTTAACTTTAATCTTGTCTTGTTGTTTTATACACTTTATAGGTAGTGAGCTAAAGTAGACCCAAAGTACATCAAGGCTTTGTTTCAGAGTTCCTAAAATGTAACAGAATGGAAACAGAGTTCACTCACCTAAATACTATAGGAAATCTTTGATGGATATTTGAATAGGAAAATATGTTTACCAGTTATAATAAAATATCATCCTACAAGTACTGCAACTAAAATAAATAACACTCTAAATAGCGCCCACCTCCAGAACAAACCTAGGAAAAAAGGAAATCACACACGCTCAAAGACAACTCCCATTGAATTACAATCATCTATATAGAAAACACTTAATCTCTGTGGCAGAGCTGTGTTTAGACCAATGCAACCAGTTGACATGTATCTACAGTACTCAACAATGCAGTAAATCAGGTGTCTTCAACCTTTCTAATCCAAAGAGCCATTTTACTACAAGCCCTACTAAATCAAAGCATTTGAGACATAACTATTGCATGACCTTTAAATAAAACACAACCTATTAATTTTGTTGAATATCTGCTATAGGATTTTTTTTTGCCATTTTATGAAACAACATTTTGTTTTTTTATCTTTTAACCATTTAGTACCAAGTGCATCATATTTGAGTTTTTAAGACCTCTATATCATCAGAGTGATATTTTTGTTCTTAAAAAATTGTTCAATCTGACACACACAGTGAATAAACAATCCATCATAGATTGTACAGAAATATCCAATGTATCATATATGGCACAAACAAAATCTAATTTAGTGTGTTTTGGTTTTTTTAGCCAGAATTTTTAATAGTTAAAAAAAAAACTTTTAGTGTTGAAAAATAAACATTTCTTAAAAAGTAAGCATGGGTTAAATTTTTTATGGACATTATGTACAACAATGAAAAGTTTCCAAGCCAATGACGAGAAAAATATATCTAACAGCATACAATACTTCTGTTTTGAAAATTCTGTGTCAATATTCTTAAAAATTCAAAAGCCTCTAAGACTTGTATATATTGATATACTATATTCAAAACCAGTAGTTGGTCCTTTTTTATTTTAGCAACTATTAAGAGACCTTGTACAGGGTCCAAAGAACCAATTAAAGCTATAGAGGTGCAAGTTTCAGGCCCCTGATATATACTCATAAGATGACACCTAAATATACAAAATAGTTGGATAATTCTGAACTTAAAAGCTTTGTAAAAGGAAATAAACAAAAAGGCAAAGAAAAGGTACAAAGGCAAGTCAACAGTAATTCTGCATCTCATAAGGCATGCTATTTGAATGAGCAGAGGCTATTTTTCAGGTCACTCACTATATGTAAGGTTATGTCATCTCATGGATGAAACTATTTTTTGATAGATTTTCACTCTAGCTTTCTTTGTATGCACAGACTGAATGAATGTGTTAATTACAATACATAACATAGCAGCAGTGTAGCTACAAGAAAGATGAACCTCATGCTTGTGTCTCTGCAGGTGTTCTGTGACATGGATCGTTTGGGAGGACGTTGGACAGTGAGTATCTAAACCTTTTAGATTCATCCCATCCTCTGACTGATTGATCTTTATCGATGCTTCCAGCTCCGCTGTGTCATGATAGATTTAAGAGATCTGACCCACATGAGGAGAACCACTCAGAGAACCAGGGGAAAAGTTGAACAGGTTTATTGAGGATAATAATTGTAATGGAAGCAGCGGAGCCAAGAGAAACTCTACAAAATTAAGAGAATGGTTTTGAAGAAATGCATACAGTTGGAAAGAAGGTTATGGATGTAGGTTAGTGTTTCTGATTGATTTTAAGTCAGTAGTGATGGTCTTGAAGCTCCTGAGCACCCACCACTGCTGGTAGGAGATCCTGAGCTTGAGGGGAGTACAACATTTGGTGATTTCCAAGAAACATCCCCACTAAATTTTGTAACAGGGTTCAGAGGTTTGCATTATGTATACTATTGTTCTGAGTATAAAAAGATAAGAAATTAACACTTTTACCCCCAAGATTGAATAATAAGATTAAATAAAAAAAATAATAAAATAGAAAAATAAAAAAAAAACTTTTTGATTTATTAGCTATATAATCAGGTATATCTGGAGCTACTGTAATCACCAAAGCTATGAGCAGCAAGAAATACAGCTGGTGAACTTTAGAGTGTGTACCTGCAGATTGTGTGGAACAACCTTAAACAGACATATAGCAGCTTAGCAGGGAGATAATGCCTAAAACACTGCATTAAACACTTTCTCTGTCTCCTCTGGCTGAAGGTCTATATAGGTAATATTCAGGAGTTATGATAGAAAGAACTATATGTTATTTCTGTGATTCTTAGTTTTTCTATCTATCTATTGGACAAAAATGGCTGACGGTGAGCTGCTGCTTACCCTTACAAGAGCTGTATGCACACACAGTTAAAAAGGTCACTGGTCCAGTTTGCTCATCAGTTGGTCAACATGACAGATGTAACTTTTTGGCTCTCAATGACACACACATGGTCAGGAAAATTACACAATATTTAATATAGATAGATAGATAGATAAATCCGACACAAACACAAGTTAGGTTCTCCACTCTGTTTATTTGTAAAGCACATGCAAACAAAGAAGTCCAATGTATTACACTGTAACTACCAACACAAATCTAAACATCAAAAAGGCTTAACACGTCCAATTTTTTTTGAATGACTGACAGTTGTAACTTGTTTATAGGCTCTCTAAAACTGGAAAAAAAGAAGGATGATCTATTAGGAAAGTTTCTGGTAATTTATAAAGGCAAAATTTAAAAAAAAGCAAACAATCATGTCAGCTACTTAAAAGGATGAAAACTAAGCTAAAGTAATGTAAAAGAAAAATAAAAGAAAATAATATTCACATCGAAATTTATTTCTGACCGAATGTTTGAGGACAGTGGCCTCAGTATATAAATCTCATAAGACTTAAGCTTCCATCCAATTGAGAGCCATGATTTCCTGTATTGTATTTTATTGGTACTGAACAAATTTAAGGAGGAACAGAAAGAATTATAAACACCTAAAATAAAAATTGTTATCATCTTATTGATAGAAAGCTTGATTTTCTATAATTTCAAATAGTCCAAAGACAGACAATTTAGAGTGGGAAAGAAAGGATAAAACTGAAAACATTTTTATATATATATATATATATATATATATATATATATATATATATATATATATATATATA